GAAGGAAGGAAGGAAGGAAGGCTGAGTCAATCTTGAGCCTGGTCAGATTCGAACTGCCAAACTGCAGGCAGCCGGCAGTCAGCAGCCTGCCGTACTGCTTCCAAACCACTGTGCCCCCGAGGCTCAATCTCCCCCCATTCTTCCCTCCCCACGCACCCCTTTTCACTCACCAGCCACGTTCGCTCTCCCGGGCAGCTGTGCCAGCACCTGGCAGACAGAGGGGAAGGGAAGGCGGAGGAGCGGCCAGCTGAGGGAATCCAGCACGAGCGTGGTGGGTCCCCGTGGGGTGGTGGCCAGGCAGGATGCCAATTCCGAAGCGGAGAATACCGCCAGGGTCAGGCCGTTGCCCCTCCCGGACCAGCCCAGGGGATCGGGGAAAGCATCGTGGAACAATATCCTGCAAGGAAGGAAGCGCGTTATAGGCAGTCCACACGCCGAACCCCAAATTTCTGATTGCTAAGCGAGACGTGTGCGAAGTATTTGACTCGTTTTACGACCTCTCTGGCCACGTTGTTAAGCGAGGCAGGGCTGAAAGTATCAGGCGGCTATGAGGATGCTAAAAAAACGGTCGTAAGTGTGAAAAACCTGGTCACAAGTCCATTTTTTTTCCCAGTGCTCAACGGTCACTCAAGAAATGGTTGTTTAACCAATAAAGTAGAATATTCGTTGCTCGGGGTTGAAAGAAAGGAGTCCTCAATGGCCTCTGAGCTCGGTTGCTTCCTTGCAGACATTTCATGACCCAACTATTATTGTGTACCTTGCTGGCTGTGTACTGCACACCGAACCACAAAGTAAGTGACCCGCCCAATGTTACAGCCAAACGTTTATAGCGTTGAGTCTAAATTTTGGACCGGCTCACAGTGGGCAGCCAAGAAAGCCAATGCAATCCTAAATTGCGTTAACAGAGGGATACAATCCAGGTGAAGCGGGGTACTAACACCACTCCATAAAGCCTTAGTAAGACGGGAGGGCAGAACTGGCGCCACAGCGGTATGACGTGCGATCTTGAGGCTCCGCTGACAGACTGTCCCACTGGACTTCAACCATCCCGCAGAGACGGTGATAAGAGAAGGGCGCATCCTGTCGATCCCGGGGACATCGCAAAGTCCCTGGCAGAGCCAGGAGAAGCCCTTTTTGCCAGCGGCGGAGAGGCAGCCATTCAAGCTGCTTGAAGCTGGGACAGCTCCGGAAGGGAAGAGATCTGGAAAGTAAGTGTGTTAGTTTGGTGAGATGAACTTCTACTTATTATTTTTTTTTGAAGAGAACACCCTAAAAGACTTAAAGCGAAATTAAAATTGAGGATAAAAGAGGTTAAGAGGCGAGATTAAGCTAAATTTAAATGGAAGGGGTTGTTTTTTTCGTTTTTATTGGAACTTGGAATTTGGTTATTAAAGCTTCACAATTTTAAACTGGACTGGTCTTTTTCTCTAATTTTTTTTACTTTTTATATAAAGTCTCTTTTGACTAGGACCCTTCTTTTTCTTTTAGCTTTTTCATTTGAGGGTGTTTTTCCCCCCCTAAAAACTTTGCTTTTTCTTTTTATCTATTCCTGTCTTTGGATAGATGAGGGGAAGTGAAAGTGTAAGTAACACTGCCATCTATAGGTTTGGATACATTGGGTTTTTTCCCCTCCTTTTTATTTGTTTATGCATTTGTGTTACATTCAAGGACTCCGAGCCTTTTTACTGAAAAGATAGTGGGATGAGCATGGTGGATTGTTTATACAGGTGCTCCTCTGTGAAACTACTGATAGCCAGAGTCTGGAGTTGAAGTTGAAAGAAAGAAATATTGAAGTGACCTTGAAAATAGAACTCTAAATTCCGATTTGATTAACCAAAGAGCCTTGGACATTTAAGTGGCCGTGGCTTGCTCCCAATTAGAATTGCTTTGTTATCCTTTTTTTTTTTTTTTACTACCCCTCCAGCTGGATTTTTATGTTTGAACTTTAGCCTTTTGATCCAGGAAATAGAATATATTTTTTCCTGGAATACTCTACCCGAGTATTCCTGGAATACTCTACCCGACTCTATAGTTTCTTCCCCAAACCCCAAAAACTTTAACCTTAGACTGTCTACTATGGACCTCACCCCTTTCCTAAGAGGTCTGTAGGTTGCGTGCATAAGCGCACCAACGTGCCTACCGTCCCTGTCCTATTGTTTCTCTTATTCTTCTTTTATTTTTCTTATATGTACCCATTTCATGTATTCACAACTATGTATACACTTATACTTATTATCTTGTAAACAATTGGCAAATCAAATAAAAAAAATAAAAAAAAATATTTTTCCTCCTTTCCTTTTCTTTCGCTCTACCTTTTTTTTTTATTAAGGGGAATACACAGACCTCTATTTTTTAATTTTTAATTTTGTTTTTTCGAATTTTTTCTAGTTTTTTCACCCTCTCTTCTTTTTACATTTTTCTTTTCTTTTTTTATATAACTGGAACCAATTGGATTAAAGTATACAAGTGCCTGAAGATTCTTCCTTTTTTTCTTTTTCTTTTTTATTGGGGTGACAGTTGTCTGCCCTTGCCTCTTATTCCTTCTTTTTTTTTTTTATCAAGCATTACAAGATGAGTAGAAAAATAGCAGCTTCAGCTTCTTCGATACCAACATCTTCCTCTTTACCACCTGGAGGACAATGATCAATACAGATGAAGCTGCAACAGGAGAAGGAGAAGGAAGTGACACTGAAGATGATTATGCAAGGAATCCAAAATATACAAGCAAAAACAGACAACATTGAAAAGAGAACGGGGAATATTGAGCAAAGAACAGAAAAGACAGATGAGAAAGTTGAGAATATCCAACAGATGATGATGAAATGTGAGGACAAATTCAAGAAAATTGAAGAACAAGATATACAAAGAGATAAGAAAATTGGAGATATTGATAATCGATTGAGTGAAGTTGAAAGAGACAGGAGCAGATCTTTGGGATGGAAAATAGACAGGTCAGAATTTCATCTGAGATTCCAAAATATAGAAGAAGAAAAGGGTGAAAACCTTGCTGAAATAATGACAGAAATCCTGGCAGAAGTGTTAGACATAACTAAAGAGAAGATGATGGATGGAATGGATGAAGTGTTCCATGTCTATACAAGATGTGCAATGAGAAATAAATTACCAAGAGAAGAGCACATTAGATTTACAAAGAAAACTATCAAAACACAGATACTCCAGGTGGCAAGAGAGAAAACGCTAAAGTACTGTATAAAGACAAGTAAATTGTGGTAATGAAACAAGTACCAAGAAGAGTGAGAGAGATGAGAAGAGAATACTTATTTCTGACTAAAGAGTTACTTAAGAGAGGAGTAAATTACAGATGGTTAATACCAGAAGGTCTCATGTTCACCTGGCAGGAACAAAGGCACAGAATTGACACAGCTGAAAAAGCTGAGCTATTCTATCTAGAATATTTTAGAGGAAAGGAGGAAGATACAAGAAAAGAAGAGTCACTAATCGAATTTTAAGAGGAGTGTATAACAGCAACTGAAAAAGAAGAAGGAGCAGTAGGTGGTGTACCCAGGGAGCAATGAGAACTAAGATCTAGTAGAGCAACAAATCCTTCTTATAAAGTCTAAAATGGATGAGAGAAAATTGATCACAATTAATATAAATGGACTTAATTTAGCCACTAAAAGAAGAAAAGTATTCTATAAACTAGAGAAATTAAAGTTTGATATAATCTGCCTACAAGAAGTACATATTAAAAAACAATATGAATATATATTGAAGCAACAAAAATTAGGGAAACTATTTACATCATTGACACAGTGTAAAAAAAGAGGTGTGGCCTTATACATTAGAGATACAATCCCTGCGGAACAAATTTATATAGATGATGATGGAAGGATTTTGATGGTGGAGATAATGGACAATAATGTAAAAACACTCTTAATAGCAATATATATAACAGCAAGATGCAGTACACTGAAGGAGGATAACTATCTTAAACTCAAACAACAGATTGCGACAGATTTGATAAAATGGGAAAACTTGCAATTATCATTGATTGGGAGAATATCTACAATTAAGATGAATGTATTGCCTAGAATTTTATATTTATTCCAGACAATTCCAGTCAGATTAGGGAAAGAGTTTTTTGAAGATCTAAATAAAATAGTGTTAAAATACATTTGGCAGGGAAAGAAAGGGAGAATAAAACTTAAACTATTACAAGATGCAAGAATAAGAGGAGGATTCGCTTTGCCCAATTGGGAATTATATTATCAGGTGACAAATTTGATGTGAGTAAAGGAATGGATAACATTAAGGAACTGTAGATTATTGACCCTAGAAGGACACGACTTGCTGTTGGGATGGCATGTTTTTCTTTGGTATAAGGGAACTAAAACACAGGGGTATTTTAGAAGACATTATATTCGAGAGGCATTGTTTTTAAACTGGGAGAAAATAAAAAAGCAAAATTACTTAAAACTTCCATTATGGATATCTATTATTGAAGCTTTTTCTTATCCAATAACATATAAAAAGGAACAAACAGTTAGATATGGTAAGATACTGAATGAAAAGGGTGAACTTAAATCTATGCAAGCGCTGGAAGAACAAGGTATAAAAATGAATTGGTTTTCATATGTACCAATACAATCTAGATTTGATAAAGATCTTAAAACAGAAGGTTTCTATGATAAGTTGACTGATTTAGATAAAATTTTGATGGGTACTGATGAAAAGGTAGTTAAAAAACTCTGCGGACATTTATTAGAATTTAAATTAGAGGAAGAACAAGTTAAAGAAACGATGATTGCTTGGGGGAAAAAATCGGATATTGGTATTGATTTAGAGAAATGGTAAAAATTGTGGTCCCAAAATTATAAAATGACAATGTCAACTGCTTATAAAGAAAATTTGTATAAGATGTTTTACAGGTGGCATCTACCCCTCCGACGAGAATTGCCAGAATGTTTAAGAACAAATTGGATAAATGTTGGAAATGTCATCAGATACCTGGCTCATATTACCATATGTGGTGGACATGTTTGGATACAAAAAGATATTGGACTAAAGTCCACACATGGTTGGAAAAAATGATAAAACAACACATAGACTTTAAACCAGAGATATTTTTATTGGGAATCATACCGGAAATATACAACAAAGAATTGAAATATTTGATTGTAAATGTTTTAACAGCGGCTAGAATTGTATTTGCTAAGAATTGGAAAAATGAAAAAATACCTTTGCAGGAGGAAGTTATTAAGAAAATTATGGACTGTGCTGAAATGAGTAAATTGATATTTGAAATTAGAGAACAAGAAGATAAACAATTTTATATGATATGGGATTTATTTTACCAATGGCTAGATAAAAAGACATGGCAATGAAATAGACTAAGTTTCGTGATAGACGATCAATAGATTGATATAGAATATAATATAAAATATATAACCATTGGATAAATGTACAATATAAATTTATAAGAAAATCTAGAATATCTCATATAAAATGATGGAATAATAGTTTAGTCAAATAACTGATAAATCTATAAGCATATACTAGATTGACAATTTGAGAACCTATATAACTTTTAAGGACTATGAAAGAATAGCACAAAAGATTTGTAACCAACTGACACACTGTATGTATGTAATTGGAAGATGGTTTTATTTTTATATATTTGTTTGTATATGTTTGTCTTAAAAAAATAAAAATATTAATAAAAAAGCCTTAGTAAGGCCACACCTAGAGTACTGCATCCAGTTTTGTTCACCACATTATAAAAAAGATGTTGAGACTCTAGAAAAAGTGCAGAGAAGAGCAACCAGGATGATGAGGGGACTGGAGGCTAAAACATATGATGAGCGGTTACAGGAACTGGGCCTGGCTAGTCTAGGGAAGAGAAGGACCAGGGGAGACAGGATGGCAGTGCTCCAATATTTGAGGGGCTGCCACAGAGAGGAGGAGGGGGTCAAGCTATTTTCCAAGTCATCCGAAGGCCAGACAAAGAATAATGGATGGAAACTGAACAAGGAGAGATTCAACCTGGAAATAAGGAAGAATTTTCTGACAGAACAATCAATCCATGGAACAGAAGTTGCCTTCAGAAGTGGTGGGAGCTTCATCCCTGGAGGCTTTCAAGAAGAGACTGGACTGCCCTCTTGTCAGAAATGGTATAGGGTCTCCTGCTTGGATGTGGGGTTGGACTAGATGATCTACAAAGCCCCTTCCAACTCTGTTCATCTGCTCTCAAATCTTTCTCACATACAAATACAAGCACACACAAACATATACTTACTGGGAGGTCACTTCAGTGCTCAGCCCATCCTTGAATTCCAATTCTGGGAGGTCAAAGCTGAGAACGTGGATGGACTCTGCCCTAGAGAGAGAGAAAAAATTAAGGTGTGGTTACAGCAACAATGTTCACACTAAATGGGAAAAGAAACCTGTTTTGAATAGAATACCTTTATCGTCATTGCATTCAAAATACAATGAAATTTGAAAGCTACTCGGTGGAGGGCCCTCCAAACACCACATCACAATCACACTACACAGTATTTAAAAATTAAAATAATTAAAATAATAATAGTAATAATTAAAAACTTAGTCTAAAACCTATTTAAAACATATATTAAGTTAGTTTAAAAATGCCACTTTATACATAGGACTAAATCACAAATGTACTGTTTGATTCAAGGCAATTATTGCCTTGGGAAAGAAACTGTTTCTCAGTCTATTAGTCCTCATTTTAAGACACCTATAATGCCTCCCTGATGGTAACAGTTCGAAATATGAATGTCCAGGATGAGAACCGTCTGTGGAGATTAATATGAATGTCCAGGATGAGAACCGTCTGTGGAGATTTTTAGTGCTCTAGAGAGGAGTCTGGTCTTTGCAATCTCTTCCAAAGAGGAAAGAGAGCAACCAACAATTTTTTTTGTGCTGTGTTTATAACTCTCTGGAGCATCATCTTATCCACTGCAGAGCATCCAGCGTACCACACCGTTACACGGTATGCCAAAATGCTGTCGATGTTAGAACGGTAAAAAGTAACCAGCAACTTCTCACCCAGACCGCTCTTTTTCAGCAGCCTCAGAAAATGCAGGTGCTGTTGGGCCTTCTTTGCAGTGGCCATAGTGTGGACCGACCAAGTAAGGTTGCCAGAAATATGAGTTCCTAGAAATTTAAAACTATGAACTCTTTCCCCACAGTCTCCATTGATATATAGTGGGAGAGGCTCTGCTTTGCATCGTCTGAAGTCTGTAATCAATTCTTTGGTCTTTTTGATGTTCAGGGTGAGGTTATGACTCTTGCACCACAAGACCAGTCTGAGAACCTCTGACCTATAGGCCGTTTCGTCTCCTCCTGATATGAGTCCCAACAATGTGGTGTCATCTGCAAATTTTATTATAGAGTTAATGGAACAAGAGGGAGCGCAGTGGTAGGTGTAGAGTGAATACAAAAGGGGGCTCAGCACACAACCCTGTGGAGAGCCAGGGCTGAGGGCAAGAGTGGAGGAAAAATAGCTGTCAATCCTAACAGTTTGGGGTCTGTTAGTAAGAAAGTCCCAGCAACCAAATGTAGGTTAGTCCGCTCTATTGTGTTCCCCGTAGCAACCTCTGGTTGTGAAAGCTAGACCTTAAAAAAGGCAAAATGGGAAGAAAAAACAACTCATTTGAACTGGGGGTGGTGCCTGTATTGTCCTCGGACAACCAACTACTGGAACTATAGGTCCCTGGAAGGCAAAATCACTGGAGAAAACAATTGTGGTGCCAACAATTGACAATTGGGGCACCTTCCTTGGCTACTGTGCATTTTAATTCATACATCTGTAAGACGAGGTGTAGCCAATGGGGGACAAAACTGTTGAGGTTCGCCAGCAGCCTGTGCACACGGCAGCGGAATCGGAGAGTGGGGAAGAACAGGGACCAGACTCAGGCGAGGGTCCTGCGTTTGATGCAGGGATGGGGTCAGGACCATCTGGGAGTGGGGTGCTGCCTCCAGAGCCTCCGGAACCTGGCAGCAGCAAGGCAGAGGAACAGAGGGAGCCTGTTCCCAGTGTGCGTATGCGCAGAGCTGCTAGAAGGCGAGAGCAGCTGAGACAAAAGGGGCGACTCAGGAGTAAGGCTGGGAGGTTATTGCCCCTCCCATAAGGGATAAAAGTCAGGCTTCAATGACGAAACCTATGCAGGAAGCAAGGTCGTTTGCTCTGTTCAGATTAATCCTTGAAGCTCTGTGTGGACTTTGTACTTTGGTTGGGTTTTTCTCTTTACAGTTCATTTGGCACTTTAGTTGTTGGCAGCAATTCAAAGGAGAGAAAGGTGGGTGCTTATCTCGAGGGACTGTTTGGGACTCATTATGGGCTGGCAATGAACATAATTCCCAGCTGTTGAAATAAAACCAGAGCTGTTTGGACGAAGCGTGTGCTTCATTATGGTCTAGGGAAGCATTGGTCAAAACAGAAACTTCCTATGTTCTCCCAAAGCTACCTCTGGTTGTGAAAGTTGGACCTTAAAAAAAGTAAGACGGGAAGAAAATCAGCTCGTTTGAGCCGGGGTGCTGGAGAAGGCGCCTGTGTGTTCCTTGGACAGGTGACTCCCAGCTATTGGCAGCTGGCATCAAGCGTAGGAGGTCGTTTAGGCAAGCCAAATGGGTGGCATATACATCCGATACAGCGATAAATTGAAAGCCTCTGGGAGTCTCCCACTCACCGCTGGGCGGCAGCTGTGATGAAGCTCTTCAGCAAGGAGCGGCCTTCGCAAGCAACTGAATCTGCCAGAAGGAAAAAGCAAAGTTGGGTCTTTTGGGTTGAGTCTCCTGGTTCGGTTTTTAAGAGTCATTCTTGATAATATTTCAATCCTGTGTTCTTTAAACCTTCTATTTTTTTAACCTGTTCTATAACCTGCAAGTTGCTCAGAGTCACCTTGTAAGGGAGACGGGCAGCATAAAATGTTGCAATATTAATAATGAAATAAAACAAAAAAACCCAGGAGGGACACAGACTGGTCAGCCAAAGCATCTCTCTTGAGCACTCACGAAGAGCTGCTTCCTCCTGGACACTCTCTGCCTTCCTCAGCTGGCACTCCCATTGGAGGGGGGGGGGACCCTGTAGAGGATGGGATGCCACTAGGAGATCCCTGCATGTGACAGACTAGTAAAAGATAACCTATGGGAGGATGGGGGGGCACCAGGTGATTTCCCGCACATGCAGATCCCCTGAAGGGGATGAGAGGCCACCAGGTGATCCCCTGCATGCAACAGACCACTGGGAGATCCCGAAAGGGATGGAAGCCCATCAAGGGGATCCTCTGCACGCAATAAGACCACCAGATCCCCTGCAGGAGGTATTGGGGGGGCACCAGGAGACCCCGCCCCTTGCATGTGATAGGCCACTGTGCAGGGGATGGGAGGCCAGCAGGAGATCCCCTGAAGGGGATGGAAGGCCACCTGGTGATCCCCTGCATGCAACAGACCACCAGGAGATGCCCTGAAGGGGATGGAACCCTATCAGGAGATCCCCTGCAGGAGGGATGGGGGACCACGAGGAGATCCCACAGCTCCAAGCTAGACGCCACTAGCAATCCCCGCCCCTCCAGCTGTCCCATAAAGGGGGCGCCCCTCCGCCGTAGCTTGCGAGGGGGGTGGGGAAAGCCTCGGCCTCGAGAGCCGCCCCTCCCCGACCAGCCCCTCACCCTGGATGAGGATCAGTCCCTCGGCGGCCCCGGACAGCAGCGCCTCCAGCATCCCTTCGCGGCTCTACCGCCTCCTCGGGACTTGGCTCCAAGCGGCCGTCGCCCGCGCGCCCTGGTGACGTCACCGCGTCACGAGGGGAGGAAGAAAAAAACAGCTGCGTGTGGAAAGGCCGCAACGCCTTCTCGCCTCTGAGGCCATAGGTGGCTAACGGAGCGCCTGATTGGGAAAAAAACAAAACACCTCCCCGCCCCCCCATGGGTCTCCCTTCGAGCCTTTCGCATTTTTCTCTTCAAAATAGAGTTGGGGGAGGGCAGGAGAGAGGTTTCGGCGCCATATCTGCCCGGCTGAAGCCAAACACGACTGAAAGCCGCTTCAGATTGCATCTCCACCCCACCCCACCCCCCTCGCTGGACCCAGAGAAGCCGCTACAAAGCCCATGGTGCACGCGCCCGGGAGAAGCGCCAGGCGGCAACGGGCCTCCCTGTCACATCCCACGGGGCGGACACAAGCCCCGCAAAGTAGACCCCCAGGCGACCCAGCGGCCGAGAGAAGGGTTGCAAATCGCCTCGGCCGTCAAACGCGACGCCGTTGCTAAGCTGAGCGGGCCTGTTGTTAAGGACGGCCGTCAAGCGCGGCGTTATTAGAAAGCGAAGATACTGCTAGGGTGAGAAAGCAGGTCGTCAAGCGCAGCCCGGTTGATAGGCAGGGAGGCCGGTGGTCAAGCAAGGCCGTCAAGCGCGGGCCAGTCGTGAAACACGGCCGTGGAAAGGAGCCCCCGTTGCTAGGCAGAGCGGCCGGTCGCCAAGCGCTCCGTTCGTTGCTAGGCAGTCCGGCGCGGCCGCTCAGCGCGCGGCGTCGTTTCTAGGCAGAGCCGGCGTGTCGTCAAGCGCGGCCGTCGCGCGCGTCCGGGCGCCCTCCTGCCGCCAAGCGGGGCGGCGGCGCCATGCCCCACTGCCGTAAAGCGCGGCCGGGCGCCCTGCTGCTGCGGGGGCCTGGTCGGGGCGGGATGCTGGGCGGCGGCGGGGCCGGCGGGGCGGCCGGGGGGGCCTCTCCGCTGCCGCTGCTGCACCCGCGGACGGGCCGGCTGGTGACGGTGTCGCGGGGCGGCCGGAGCGCGGCTCGCTCGCAGCCCGGCCAGGAGTTCAACCACGGGCTGGTGCTGAGCCGGGAGCCCCTCGCCCCCGGGGCCCTCTTCACCGTCCGAATCGATCGGAAGGTGACGGAGGGGGAGGAGGAGGGCAGGGG